CGCGGAATCATGAATTATTCTACTACAAGCTGAAAGATTATGATTTGAATTTTTGAGTGACGGACAATTAGAAGGGTGGGGGCACACTGGGGGGCCAATCAGTTTTCAGGAGGGGCCAGTGCCCCCATGGCCCCTCCCCTGGCTACGCCACTGATCTCAATATCTCAGCTCTGGAAGGGTCTAGAGCCTCCATTTTTGCACTCAGGTCTAAGACCCATGGCCCTCTATCAGAATCCAGAGTTTCAAGAAGATCAGAAAAACTCAAAATTTCGACCCAAAAAACCCCTCCCCAAAAAACGACAGGGGTACCCCTGTTGTTTTTTTGTTTTGTTTTTTGGTGCGAAAAATTAAGTTTCTCCAATCTTCTCAAACTTTGGATTCTGATAGAGGGCCATGAGACTTCCGTCGAGTCCGAGGGATGATTTTGTCTGTTATTATTGAATTTATTTTTTCCAATTGGCCCTGCAAACTGGTTACCTTGAGCACATTGTGCACTGAACCAATATAAACTATTACACTAAGTTAAAAGTTCACAAAAAAAGTTCAATGTCATCATTTACTCACAGTTCTAAACCTTTGGTAAAATAAAAAAAGTCTTCTTTTGTGTTCAACAGTTACAAACCTGTATGCCATTTTTTTTTGTCTATATCACGTAAAAAGATCGTTATTTAATGACTAGTGATATCTCCTGATAACAAAAATACTACACAAACATGTTTCCGTAGCCCAATGATATACCAGAAGCCTGCTGGACATTTTGTGGAGTCTAAGTGAGCACCTCCATTTAGTCTAATACAGGTTAAGCGACCTCATGTCATTTAAGGAATTTGTGTACAGTAGTGTATTCACACAGAGCCTTTGTGACAGGTCTCAAATGATCTATGACTCTCCTCCAGAGTAAAAACATACTTGAGGCCTTTCCTCCCTTTTCTTTTCTCACCCTGCATGACAGATGTGTCTCCCTTCCCCCACTAACTCTCCTTCCAGCACCCTTATTTTTCCTCGCTGGTCCTTTATTTCATCCTACAAGCTTTGGTGGGGAGGAGGAAATGTGCCTGCCACATGATGATATCTTGATTTTCCCCAAAAGTTTCCCATTTCCTGCGAGTTCTGACTCACAGACATTAACAAAAAGGCGCACAATCAACCACGTCTCCAAAAGTTATTCAATATGGCATAAGGCATTGTGGTCTCTGAGTAATTGTTCCTGATTTTTAACCAGCTGTAAAAGTTTGGGGCAACTAGAAAAGGTCTTTTGTCATTTCTAGTCCAGATGTGTGCTTTCTTCCGGATATACGACTTCAGCTGTTCTCTCTGATTTAGTGAAGCATTGTGTTGCGGATGATGTATTTCAGTCATTGTTGGTTTTAAAGAGTGTGGAATTAAAACTCTCATTTCTAACTGCTTTAATTTCCTGCCAGGTTCTTCCGAATAAAATGCTGCAATTTGATATGGGTTATTAAGTGGTAGTTCGCCCGAAATTGACAATTCTGCCATCGTTTACTCACCCTCAAGTTGTTCCAAAACCTTAAGACTTTCATTCAACTTCGAAAGCCCAACTTAAATCCGTAATAGGCAATCATGTATCTTCTTCAGAAGACTGGTCAATTCATATGGATTTCTTTTATGAGCTCTTTATGAAGTGCCACATATTTGAGCGAATGGACTTTCAATGCAGGAACAGAATTCTCATAGGTTTCATTAACAATATGAAACTAATGACAACAATTCAATGATGGCAAACGATATGTATACTGAACTTTTACGCAATATTTGAAATCGGAAAACATTTTGACACATGGGGAAACTAACAAACGGAGCCGATTCGGATGATGCTGATTCTCTCAAATTGAACTAATAAGCTTATTAAACAGCTTGGCTGATATGTCAGTACAACAAACCTTGTCTGAGAGACCTCCAGACCTTGTCAGCATTTCATAATCCTGTGCATAAGAAATTGAGGTTAACATTTCAATGATTGTGGAGATGAGAAAAGTATTTAAGCTCAAAAACATCATAAATGTGAACATTCCAGGATGCAGGTTTTTATAAAATGACAGAAGTGTTTCTTTTGGCCGTCTGTGACAGGCAGCTGGCTTGACTTGTAGATTTACCACCCCATTGTTCTGTCCCTCCATAACAAAAACACACTGTTTCCTGTTCTGTTCTACCCATGCTTAGTATTCAGGGTGGAATATTGTTTGTAACGAACGAGGGGAGAGGAAGGGCCACAGATAATGTGCTGTGGAAGGTTAGAGGTCCTTATCTGAGTCTGTAAGAAAAAGCGCAAACGCAGTGTGAGAACATTATGTGTGTAGCCGGGATTGTGTGAGGCGGTAAAGTGTGTCTGAGGTCATGAGGTGTGAGTGCTTCTTTTGAAATGCATCACACTACACTCCCCACCGTGGGAGAGCTCTGAGTGTCCTGTGACCCAATGCGTCATCTGGAAATCAAGCCAAATGGTATGTGCTTCCCATGTAGTCATCAGGGACAACGATTGGACAGTCTTGTTTCTGATTTAGGTAACACTTTAGTTTAGGGTCCAATTCTCACTGTAAACTAGTAGCTTATTAGCATGCATTAGTACTTAAAAAACACTACATCCCTCTTAATCCACCAAATATCTGAACTTAACAACTACCTTACTAACTATTAATAAGCAGTTTGTTTGAGGCAAAAGTCATAGTTAGTTGTGCGAATTGCACCCCTACACTGTAAAAAAAATAACCCTGTAAAAAAAAAAACGGTAAACTACTGCAGCTGTGGTTGCCAGCATCATATCATAAAAAATAGGGTGTGTTACTGTTTTTAAAATGAACAGCTAAATACCGTTTTGTCAGCTACAGTATATGCTGTTAAATTAGTTTTAAAATGTAGCGGACAAAACGTATTTAGCTGTTCATTTTAAAAACTGTAAAAAAAAAAAAAAGGTAAACTACTGGCAGCTGTGGTTGCAAGAATCATACCGTAAAAATAAGGTGTGTTACTGTTTTTAAAATTAACAGCTAAATACCGTTTTGTCAGCTACAGTATATGCTGTTAAATTAGTTTTATAATGTAGCTGACAAAATTGTATTCATTTTAAAAACTGTAAAAAAAAACGGTAAACTACTGGCAGCTGTGGTTGCCAGAATCATACCATAAAAATATGGTGTGTTACTGTTTTTAAAATGAACAGCTAAATACTGTTTTGTCAGCTACAGTATATGCTGTTAAATTATAATGTAGCTGACAAAATGGTATAGCTGTTCACTTTAAAAACTGTAAAAAAAAAAACCCGGTAAACTACTGGCAGCTGTGGTTGCCAGCATCATACCGTAAAAATATGGTGTGTTACTGTTTTTAAAAGGAACAGCTAAATACCCTTTTGTCAGCTACAATATATGCTGTTAAATTTGTTATAGTATGTAGCTGACAAAAGCTGTTCATTTTAAAAACAGTAACACACCATATTTTACGGTATGATGTAACCACAGAAGCCAGTAGTTCACCGTGTTTTTTTTTTTACAGGATTATTTTTTACAGTAAAGTGTGACCCTGAATTGTTTTTTTTTTTTGCTTCAGCAATATCAGCAAACCTGGTTTTGGTAAGTATTGATGATGCACACTTATCTATCTATCTATCTATCTATCTATCTATCTATCTATCTATCTATCTATCTATCCATCCATCCATCCATCCATCCATCCATCCATCCATCAATTATCTATCTATCTATCTATCTATCTATCTATCTATCTATCTATCTATCTATCTATCTATCTATCTATCTATCTATCTATCTATCTATCTATCTATCTATCCATCCATCCATCCATTATCTATCTATCTATCTATCTATCTATCTACTTATCTATCTATCTATCTATCTATCTATCTATCTATCTATCTATCTATCTATCTATCTATCTATCTATCTATCTATCTATCTATCTATCTATCCATCCATTATCTATCTATCTATCTATCTATCTATCTATCTATCTATCTATCTATCTATCTATCTATCTATCTATCTATCTATCTATCTATCTATCTATCTATCTATCTATCTTAATATTTAAATAATTTTCAAACTAAAATCACCTAAGCTAATGATTAATGATTTACTAACAGTGATGCTTTCAGATATCGAGTCAAATTTTGACAAGAGGCCACTTATTTTATTTGAACTTTTCATTCATTCAAACGGAGGGGGAGAGAGAGACAGAGACAGAGAAAGAGAGAGCAGCTCAAGTGACTATGGCTAATTTTGTTTCATTCAACCTTATCAGCCATCTGGAGTGTGAAATTTCCTCAACACACTATTGGTTAGAACCAACAAACAAGTTTAACAAATGCAAGATTTAAAAAAAAAAAGAAAAATCCATTATATCGAACATGTTACTTCACATTTGCTGAAGTAAAACCCTGAAGTGTTTTAACAAAATTGACGTAACGTAACGAAAAAAAAAAAAAAAAAAAAACGTAACGGACAAGCAATATTCAGATATAGAAAACATAAATTAGAGCATAATTTCAATGCTTGGCTATTGTATTTACATTACCAAGTCAACAAAGGATCTTTCTGTATGTTGATCTTTAGTTTTGTTTGTTTGCTGTTTGAATAAATGTTTGAAAAGTTATAAGCAAATGAGGATAAAAGAACCACATGCGTTTTGGACCACACCGGCTTGCACATCAACAGCATAAGGGCTACAAATGTCTAAACTGATATGTAATATGCATCCATCAGGCCAGCTTTGGGATGCAGGCAGCCAAAATTACATCGGACGGACTCGAATGCATTGAAGAACTGCAAAGTACAGGAATCAAGGCCTCTTCTCGTGCATTAAAGTTCGATATTCAAGATTTGGGAGTTGAGAAACATAAAAACAATCAAAAACCAATAAATAAAAAAAAAAAGAAAATCCTGTATTTTCCCAACAAAACCAGTTTTTTGTTAGAGTATTCTCAGATTCTTCACATGAGATGTTTATTCAGCGTGATTTTGCAGCACTTCTTCATGGCTTGTTCATTTGCTCTATGCTTTGAAAGTCATCCAGTTTTCAATGTTAAGGTATAAACAGAGAGCAAATTCCCACGTGCACCAGCATCTAATCCAGAAACCAGGCCTCATGACCACCAAAGAATGAGTTCTTCTGAACTAGACAACACTTCGGCCCTTGTAGCATCCAGCCGACAGGGCTAAATCAACTGCAACAAGCAACTGATCTGAGCGGCATCACTCGTGTCAGTGTCCGTAGCTTGTCCATGCTCTGTCAAACTTTGTAGTAGATGTTTGCAGGATTTTGTGGTGGCATTTCTTGGACGATGTAGACAGGGTGTCCGTAGTCACCACTGACCTTCTCGTAGTGCGGGCAGTACATGCTTCCTGAGGTCCGCAGTGGAAAGATGATGTCACTCGGCTCAGAGCCGTTATTGTTGCTCAAGCCACTGGCGGCGCTTCCGCGTTTGGGCAGAGTGTTTAATGGCAACTGGGCAGAGCACTGCGCAGAGTGTTTCTGATGACGCCGATGAAGGAGTGCTACAAGAGCAATGATGATGATGATGAAGATGACGGCACCGGATGCAACACCAGCAAACAGGGCTACTTCCGATCCAGCAGATCCGACAGACTCTCCGCTCTTCCCTCCGGACTCGCCATTCTGTGTAGAGTCTGGGGAATGAGAAAGAGTTTATGATAGAGATTCAAAAAGAGTAATAATTTTACATCCAAATGGTTTTACTTAGTCTTCTGTCATTCATTGTCATATTAAGAAAAAGGGTTAAACTGGCCAGACACCCTCCAAAATTACTCATTGTAGTTGATATCTGATTTATTAACACCTAGTATATTGTACATCTGGGCCATATTTCAAATCAAAAGATATTATTTTAGGACTTTATTTAAGGAGTATTTCACGTTTAAAAAAAAAAAAAACTTTTGCTGATAATTTACTCACCCCCATGTCATCCAAGATATCCATGTCATTCTTTCCTCAGTCGAAAAGAAATTAAGGTTTTTGATGAAAACATTCCAGGATTTCTCTCCATATGATGGACTTCAATGGGAACCAAACTGTCCAACAGACAGTTTCAGTGCAAACTGAAGGGCTTTAAATGATTTCAGATGATGAATAAGGGTCTTATCAAGCGAAACCATTGCTCATTTAAAAAAAAAAAAGTATTCAAATCTTTTTTCGTGTCATTTGGTTCATTCAACGAACGAAATGAACTGACTCAGGAAAAGATTTGTTCATTTTGATGAACGAGTTCGAACAGGAGAGTCATGAACGCGCATCACAGAACAGAGCAAGGCGACCATTTTAGCTTATAAAACTTAAACTTTTTTTGAATGAGCGATCGTTTCGCTTGATAAGACCCTTATTCATCATCTGGAATCGTTTGAAGCCCTTTGAACAGTTTGCAGTTTGCACTGAAACTGTCTTTTGGACCTTGAACCGTTTGGTTCCCATTGAAGTCCATTATATGGAGAAAAATCCTGGAATGTTTTCATCAAAAACCTTAATTTCTTTTCGACTAAAGAAAGAATGACATGGATATCTTGGATGACATGGGGGTGAGTAAATTATCAGCAAGAGTTTTCTTAAAAGTGAACTACTCCTTTAAGACTTTTTGCATTTTGTCATTAATCCTCATTATTTCTATTTAATTATATTATATATTGTATTAAGTATAATATTTAATTATTCAAATTATTGAATTTCATAACTATTATTTAGGCAAAATACTGTTTTCGCTTTTGATTTTGGGGTTAAAGTTGAACTGCATAAGTTACGATTTAATGAGATTTACCCTCATATACATAAAAACCTACCAATTTTGCTGACAACGTCATTCTCTTTGCTGAAGGTGTTTTGGTCCTTATTGTCAGGGTGTTTCGGAGGATGTCTTGTGGGATGATTTTTTGTTGAGATTGAATCTGTTGGACCTACAAACAAAATTGAAAATTAAATATTTACAGCAAGAAAAAATTACCAGTGGAGCTAAAGCAGTGCGAAATGTTCATCGAACTGAAAAAACTGATCTGAACATAATATCGGACCACCCTTACATCTTTTTGGCTTCTAGGCATTATGCCCCAGGTTTTGAGAGAGAGAATTTAATGAATTGGCGTAAAGCTGCAAGTATCTCCCCACAAGCCCAAAGAAGGGACAGCTGGCATAGCCATAGGAAACAAGCTCACATGACATTTCAATTACACGCTGAGGCACACTAGCATGGACACCCACTAGAAGACCAGTGACATGAAAGACTGTTATGGAAGCAGTGATCTTCATCATTGCAGGTATGGAGAGAAAGGTTGTGGGTGGTACTCACTCTGTCCAACTCTCAGAACCAGCTTCATGGATTTGGACTTACAAACACCACCATCAATGTTGTCCAAACCTTCAAATGTGCTGTTGGATGTGGCTGAGAGAGAGAAGAAGGAGAAATGAATTAGCCAATGATATCATTTTGTTAATCACACACACTAAAATATCACAAAATCTGTCAAGAACACGTCTGAATCACATTTTTTCTAATGAAAATAAAGATAAATTTGCATTGCGACATTATTTTCAATACAATTAAACACATTCAAATGTCATTATAATGCATCAAAAATAATAATATACTCATAAGAGCTGCACGATTAATCACGATTATCTGCACGATTAAAGATCACAATCGCCTGCTGCAGAGAGAGCACTTGTCATATATAGGTATGAAACGACTTCATAAAAAGTCTTTTCAACCACACAGTATCATTATTTCTGTTACAATGATTCAAACTATCACATAAGTACTGGGATAAGTTCAAATATTAACATTGATGTTTAAAGTAGCGATCAAAATAGAGTAAATCACCTTTAGAAAGTAACTTGAAGCTTGTATCAAATATATCATTGCACCAGTATGTGGCAACAAGTGAGTGTTAAAAATGTATTTGTCATCGAATCATTCATTCAAGAGAATCGTTCCAAAATGATTCATGCTGATTCATCCAAAAATGAAGCAAGTGAAGTCTTTAATATGAGTGAATCATTGAATGGCATTAAACTGGTTAAAAATCCAATTAAATCAATTTAATTAAAAAAACAAATTAAATAGACTGCAGTAAATAACATTTTGTTAGAACCTATAGTAAATGATGCTATTATGTTTAGTTGTCTGTCCAGAATCCGGGGAGAATAGTGATCTCTATTTGAAACAAAAAAAAATTTGTAATGTAATACATATTACATTTTTATTATTGCTAATTATAATGTGAATATACTAAGAATCAACAATGAGATTATAATGATAATTACAAAAAATCTGCACGGATTGGAGTAATGACAATATGGAATAGAAAGAAAAAAAAATGCAATATTTGCCTTTTTTTTTTGTGCGAGTCACCAATCCAACATTTAATAGCTTACATTTCTGATCCTGAATATTTATAGCCATCATCCATCTTAAAAACGTTTGCATGCCACCAAATTATTCTTTCCTCTCGAGGGTCATTTCTCTTACAGTCTTGTGGATGAATTTGGCCATATAAGGTTTAGTAGCACAGAGTGAGCTAGTTTATGACCGGGTCAACTTTCCACAAGTGTACTCACAGGTGCTTTAAAATCTTTAAAGTGTTCCTTGCGGACATATGAGTCACATGTTCATCAGTCACAGTGTATGTGTATGCAGAAGGTGAAGGTTCAGCTTGCTCGCACAAAGAGAAAATCCCAGTTTTGCAAAGCTTCTTAAAAGCTTGGGTTTGTATACTAGTAAATCCTTATGAAAAAGCATTAAGAGGGGCGCGCACGCACTCACGTCCACGCTAATTTAGAAAACCCTCATACTGTGAGAAATAAACCCAGTGTAATCACACAGGTTTGAACTTTACAGAAACTAAGCATATTACCAAAGCCTTTTCACATCATTATCACAGAATATCAAGGATTTGCTTTGACCGCCAATCCACGGCTAGTGGAGTGGCTTGGTGGAACGATTTAAACACCATTGTGCCTGGACACTCATGCTGTGTCCTCTGATAGCGGAGCTAAAGAATTCCATTGGGCTCTCTTTCCCTGCGAGGATTAAGACCAATCCCACATGAACAAATGGACTTCCCCTCCAAACAGCTTAGGGCACAGAAAGAACTGAGTGACCGGCAAGTGAAAGGGCAAGAGAGAGAGCGGGGGGAGCAGAGAAAGCAAACGAGAGGGAAAAACAGAGGGGGAGAGAGAGAGAGAGCTTTTACCCAACATGTCCCAGTTCCCTGCAACCATTCCCACATTCATCTGCAGCGGCCACTCTAGATGTGACCCGACTCTTCGGCTTGAATGAAGCCCGCTCATTTCCTAACCACAACAAGCACATTCAGTGCCTCGGGCCAGCGCAGCTCAGCCAGTCACGATGCCAGCGACCGAGCAACAAAGTGGAGGTGGAAAATGAAAGTTGCGTGCACACTACAAAAAAAGTGTTTCCAAGCAGATGTTATGGTTTCAGTAGGTTTTTTTTTAGCTTTTAGCAGACATTAAGAAGTCTAACTATCCTAGAGATCATATTTTAACCACATACACACAGTGAAACATATCCTGTCTGACTGTATGTCTAGAAAAAATGCTAATTATTTGTTGTAAGTTGCAGCAGGAGTTAATGACGTATTGCACTGGTTGCGATATACATTGAGTCATAAACAAACGCAATTTAACACACTCAAAAATGCTGGGTTGTTTTAACCCAATTTTGGGTCAAATATGGACAAACTCAAACATTGGGTTATAAATGTAATTAAAAAATGCTGGGTTGTTTTAACCAAATTCTGGGTCAAATATGGACAAACCCAGCCAATGGGTTACATTTTTAAGAGTGCAGTCTCGCTTTTTTACTTTTAAAACTACACTGTTAAATAATGTAAGAAATAGAAATTACTTTTTTTTTTTGGTGAAACTTAATGTAGTCAAGTTGATTCAGTCATGAAATTATGCAAAATGCTGGGTTGTTTTTAGGTCTGTGAAACGATTAATCGCGATTAATCGCATCCAAAATAAAAGTGTGTGTTTACATAATATCATCAATGTTGAAAACAGTTGCGCCGCTTAGTATTTTCTGGATTCTTTTATAAATAGAAAGTTCAAAAGAACAGCAGTTATTTGAAACGCACATCTTTTTAGGACTGTGAAACAATTAATCACGATTAATCGCATTCAAAATAAAGGTTTGTGTTTACATACTATATGTGTGTGTAGTGTGTATAATTATTTTGTATATACACACATGCATGTAATATTTGGATGTATATACTTTATATATTTATACAAAATTAATGTTATCTAAACATAAATATTTGATATATTAATAACACATTTTTCTTAAATATATACATGCATATGTGTGTATTTATATATACAAAATAATTATACACACTAAACACAAACCTTTATTTTGGATGCGATTAATCGCGATTAATCGTTTCACAGCCCAACATCTTTTGTAAAATTATAAATGGATAAATTTTTTATCAATTGAATGCCTCCTTGAAGATTAAAAGTATTCATTTCTTTTTTCTCTTTTTTTCTGCACTGACCCCAAACTTTTTCAGGACTTTCCAGCACGCCTAAAAAAGTTTTTTAAAAATGGTTCTCTTCCTCTCATTTTGTCAGCTCTCACACACATCACAGTGACATGCACACGTTCTGACATTCACATGCACACAAGGCACACACACACACACTCAAACATGGAGGTAAGTCTCTTTAGAATCATTTAGGTCAGATTTCCGTGTCCCTCGGGCTGCAGGCCAAGCTGCCTTAAAAAATCACATCAAACCGATCCGTCTCATACTGGCAAAGGATTGGGGGATTTAGAGCGTGTAAATCTTAAAATCACATAAACGGCCATTAAGGAATGTGCCAACTGAAAAGGGGCTGAGATCAACACACGCTAAACTGAACGATAACCACTTTTGGAAGTGGTTGAATGATACTAATAACATCTATGTAAAGGGCCATCAACAAGACTTGCTTCACAGAGAACATCGACATTTCCCTCCCCACATGAGAAGAGGAAAAAAATAGACCTGGGAAAAACTACATTTAAAAAAAAAAAAAAAAAAAAAACAGAGAGTTGATGTGTGCTAGGCAAGCTAAACAATATGATTAATGAGCATAAATATCTTTATGTTAATGACAAATACATCTTGCCAACGAATTTAACACATTTCCATTAACTATAAACTTGATTTGTTCATTATTTTTGGAGGGCTACACTATAGCCAGTCGCCTTCCCAGACGAAAAGACGGAAAAGATATATTGGGAGACAATGCTGGAGGCTGAAATTCCCAAGGGTGGGATCAGTTCTGCATTTGGCTCCTTCTACATAGAGTTCCAGCTGGCAAAGGAGGTGAAAAACTATCATGAATCAGCACCTAAAGGGAAAATTCTTGAGTACGAATGGAAATAAACTTACAGATGATGTGATAGTCCTTTCCTTTGAAGAACTCCAGGCCCCACAGGTTGGGGCTGAACTCTTGAAACTTGAAGGTGAACTTCACGTCCTGGTCCGGCTTGTCACAGTTGAGCAGTAACATGTCGCTTTTAGTAACACTACAGGTCTCCAATTGTTCTTTGGGAACAAGATAGACACGGAAGTATTCGATGTTCATCTGCTCGGTGGAGCCTGCCTTGATTCTTGGACACACAATGTCCATTTTGTCTCCGATCTGAGGGTATAGCACTACACCCCTTCCTGGAACAAACCTGTAGGGAACAAGGGATGTTAAAGATCTTATAGTGTTACAGAGATGGGAAAAAACCCTTAATGATTAGCATGATAAGTTTGAAGGTAATGTAAAATATTTCATGTTTAGACATCTTGTAAGTTAATGCAACCCGTTCACACTAAATGCGTCCAAAAAGGGGTCCAATTGGGTCAAAAACAACATTGGCCTCCATTGACTTTCTCTGTATGGTAAAAAAAATAAATAAAAGAACAAAAAAGAGACATTTATCTAAATATCTTTGGAAAAGTTACACAAAGAAGCCATGGCTGCCCCTCCATTCATAATCAAACAAGCAACTGACTGAAATGGATTGAGACAAGCAATTTCCTTTGGCTGATTTTCAGAGTTCTGTCTTGAAGCAGAACACAAATGCATATAAAGCATTTGGGACCTTGGCTTACTTACACTTTTTTATTTTTACTAATGTCTGCAACTTTGTAGTCTTCCTAACCCCCCCCCCCCATTACATATTTCTCTATTCTGTAATGCATTTGCACAATTAACAATTGCTCACTCCTGACCGTTTGCTGGCAGCCCTTTATCTGCCCTCAATGTTTATAACCTTACTATAGCTCCAATTACAAAACTCACTTGTTGTAAAAGGATTCTGAAATTGACCTTTCAATCATTTGCAGATTCTCAGATTAAGTTGATTTCTCATTAAACACACAAATTCCATTGTAAACAGACTTGTGTGCATTGGGTTTATCCCTTTCTATTTTAAATCTACCATGACAAAGTTAGACATGGTCTCAAACACCCTAAGGCAGAATAAAAGAGTCACTTTCTAAGACTAGCTTCCATCCTCATAAAGTCATTAAGAAAGGGACCCTCGAGGTTCTGCTGGGGGTCCTGAGAAGACAGGAAGCTTCAGAGCCCCTCCTCCGCCCCCCTGCAGTACCAACTTCTCTGTGGATCTTACGGAGAACAAACCGGGATGGGGGTTGAACAGTGCCTTCATCCCAGCGCACCTTTTGTCTCCAAAGCTGTGACAAAGATGACCCACTGAGCTACTGGAACTCATGAAAACCGATTACAACCTGGAGCAAAGCTCTGCTGCACAACGGCTTAGCATCTTAAAAGAGCGTTATCCTGCATCTAAACAAAACTGATCTATTCGAATACAGGTTCACCACTGTGAAGAAACAGCAACAATGCCACCAAGGCAACCAGTTTCACTCTTGAGCGATCAGATGGTGGAATAAAACACAAGACTTTTAACAAAATGTGATATCTAAGAGCATGTTTGTTTGGTGAAATGTGTGCCCAAATGTCCAAACATGTTTCAGGTGAGTTGACCAATTGACCTCCCAATGGCAGGATGTGGCAGCTGAGAAAACACCAGTGTCTCAATCTCAGAAAGTAGTACTTACAGTAAATGCATTTCCCTTTCTTTTAACAGTGTCCTGAGACTGTTTGTCCTGACGCAGGAAGGTGCGTGGGTAACAGATGCGTAATTATCACGGATCTCTCTTACTCGGTTGTAATCCACTCTTCAATTTAACATTTCTCAGCTTATAATCAGTCCTAAATTTAGGCTGTGGCTCAGCACGCTTACACGATATTAACCATGATGTAGGTCTCCACAAGTTTGATTGCTCTAAGTGCAGATTCATTCTCTCAGCAAATACCAGGGTGCATGGAGTTCGCAATACATGTTACAATCTCGCCATATAATTGATATAAACCATTGCATTTACCTGCAATTTGACAGGGCGTGCAGGCTAATTGCTTAAATGACATAAATTAACATTTACAAATAGTGGTAACGTCTATGATGTAAGGATAGCCCAACTGATCTGTTTTTAAAGTTTATGTGGTGATCTACTTTTAGCCTGCTTCTGCAAATGAATGCACTTGCATCTCAATGTTACTGCCAATAAAGCATCATTGTAACTAATACCCTGCAGTCTGGAAAGGTGGGTGGTCCACCAACAAAATGGCATGGATTACGAATATGTTTAGTGGGCTGTCTTGTGTTTATATGACTATGACATGGTAATAAAAATCAATGGAGAAATCAACTCATTTAAACTGCAAATGAAAGTGTGATTACAGATAGACTTTTAAAATGAAAGGTTCTTCAATGGTTCTTTGCAACACCTTCAGAACCCTCAACTAACTCTTTTTTAGCTGTATATTTTGTATGGGCTAAGTAAATAAAAGATTAAGATTAAGACTAAGATTAAAAAAGTTTAATTTTATGTTACATTATAGGTTTTTTCCTACCAGTCAGCATATTGATTCTTTTAAGTTCCAGTACATGTTTTGCCTTTGAATTATATGGGCATCAGTTCAGTTTAACTTTCAACTGGTATTCAGTGAGTGTCTAGAACTCATCTCTCATTATAGGCTATTCTTGTTGTACTTGTTTATTAGACATTATGTATTCCATTTTTATTTCAAAACGAGTACTATAATTGTGGCTATAGCTACACACTTGATTATAGATAAAATAGGGGAACATAAAATATACACAAACTGGACTTCTGTTCTCTCAGAAATGTAAAGTATAGCCAACCTTTGGGAAATTTACAAGTAGGCTACAGTTACTCTGAAGGCAAAACATTCGCAATTTGTTATGCAAATAATTTATGTTATGCTCCAGTTCCAAATGGAATAGTTTTGCGTCTATATTGGTACAGTAAAGATATACTAGTATCAAGTGGAAAATTAGCCTAAAAGTGACTGATTTAATAGATGCAACACTTGTTATAGAATTATAATTATAAACCATTTACAATTATGTTAATTCACAAAATAATATAACCACCAGTAATAAAATAGATTGTTTGTGTAGAAGAATAAATGTTAACACTGCTTGCCATACAACGCTTTTTTTGGGTTCTACTTACTTGGTGTTCGAAGTATTCCAGTATATCGATTCTAAAACTGTTGATCGAGTCAATTTTACTCGACAAGCAACCACGAAAAGACAAAATATATAAGTCCACATAGATGTATCCATTGCGATGCAAAACGAGTTCAGCAGTCCAAATCAGGTTATAATAAGTGAGAAATCCGCAGGCACTAATGTGAGGAGAATCCGATGCTGTTGGGCGCTCTCTTCTGCTGAAAACGCGTTTTATTTCGAAACGGAAAAAAGAAAACAATTCGCTAAGACTCCTTCGCAACTGGCACTAACAAATTTAACAAAATAGCCGGACAGCGGAAGACAATCCAAGTGATCAGGTTTTAGGCATGAATATGCATCCTTTGGTGACCAGTGATTGACATTCTTATGAATGTAGAGAAAACCGTAAAATAGTGCCGGTTACGTGGGATATCAGCACAGCTCTAAAATTCTGATGTTACTGAGCTCAACTCTAAAGGCGGCATCAGTGCTTCTCCTGTTCTTAGTCTTTGCATTCAACTCTGCCAGTCTTGGAGTGCCCTCAAGACGTGCTCAGAGACTTCTTAGGACAACCCAGTGTTGCGGTTAGACCCCGCCCACATCACACTCGATTGGATGACGCTGCATGAGTGACACCTAGTCGAATTGAAGGAGAAGGCAACTGTACTGCTATTTAAATGAATCATTAGGCTACTACCAGAGCACGAAGTTTTCCTGATGTGCAAAGCGGTATCAAAATGATCAGAATGCTATTGTTTTCAACTGGGAGGAGACTGGGAACCACTAGGGGGCCTCAGTAAACTTTTAAAAAAAGAAGAAAAAAGCCATGTTAAAAAAAAAAATAAATATATATATATATATATATATATAGCAATTCGTCCAAAGCAGACTGAGACATTCTTATCCTTGGAGATATTCAAGTAGCCTATGCTATTTTGTCCTTACAAAGCCATAAGGCATTTGAGCTTTAAGGTACGTTTTAAGGAAAATAATAACATTGAATTGATTGATAGAGATTTTAAAAAATGAAATTGATAACGAACTGGTGGTATACGCATTTTCATTTCTAAATAGCCCTTACAGTTTGTGTGACCTGGTTGCATTATGGGTCTAAAAATGTCCCCACAAAGATGGCGATATCTGAAATTGTCCTTGTGGGGACATTTTTTGGTCCCCATGAGGAAAACAGCTGAAATCATAGCCTATATGTTTTTGAAATTGTAAAAGAAAGAAAAAAAATGGCAGAAAGTATTCTGTGATAATAGTGTAGGCTACTGTAGGAGGGTACAATCTACAGTATGTACAGTATAAAAACCATCATGTCTACGGAAAGTCCTCATAAAACAGAACGTGTGTGTAGCCTGTGTGTGTGTGTAGCCTACATAAAGACCTACACACAAACAAGATGCATAACATACATAAATTGAAAAGAATCGTTCTAAACGCACGAATGTGACGTCACGTTCGAAATGGAATTATTAATCTTTTCATTTTAATTTAAACCGCTATGGAAGCTTGTAACTAAAGGAATTTCCCACGAACTTAACCCGCTTAGCACCTAAATCTCACAAAGTCTTAAAAAAAATCTGTATTATGGGCCTACTCACAGCGCTAGCAATTTCTTCATCCGTTTAGTATTTAGAAAAAAAGCAGCCGTCCCTAAATTACGCACATTAGATGCCTGAGATAAATCAAAACATTTGTTCGATGGTTCGAGCACCTTTTGTTTATTGTCCTTTGCGTGTTTGTTCAATAATCAAAAGGAAAAGCTTACAGGTGAGAGATAATTGGATGTCGAGCCGTGTTAAGGTGTGATGCGTTTGCACTTCCACCGTCTGGTCTGCGCTCGAGCGTGAATCAATTGTGTATTTGCGCTTCGGGCTTGTGCCGAAATAACAGAGGTGTCAAACAAACTATTAATTAGGCTGCAGATTTGATAGCATTTGGTGATGTGTTGACATCCTGACGTCAAAATGTTAACCTACTTAGTCTAGTTGATCCCTCGTCTTCCAGATTCTTTGATATCTCGAAACGCTATTTTTTTCTGATGGTAAGCATCAAGAAATTAAGGGAATATTAAAGGGATAGGTCAACCAAAAATGAAAATTGTGTCATGGTTTACTCAATCTATGAATGGATTTGTTTCTTCTGCTGAACACCGTATAGATTTTAAAGAATATGGGTAACCAAACAGTTCATTGACTTACATGAACAATTGTTTGGTTACCCATATTCAAAATATCATTGTGTGTGTGTGTTCAGCAGGAGAAAGAAACTAATAATATTTGCAACAACAGCGAGTGAATGACAGAATTCATTTTTTCGATTGGCCAACTATCCCTTTAATCCTATTTGATTTTAGATACTTGCAATTTTTTATGTATTGTTTAATCTAATCCTGATTAACTACACAAGTCAATACAAATATGCAAATAGATATCAGAAACACGACACATTAATGGATTTATTGGAGATTCTTGACATATCCTTGATAACTGGGTCGAATATTTAACCAGACCACAAACACAAATTCTGGCCAATCAGCAACCTTTCACTCAATCACCTCTAAAAGCATCTCATCACAAACATATAAGAAGCTCAATGACATGCAACGACCAGATACCGTTTATTACAGCATCACCTTACCTCTTGAATGTACAATTATGAATGAGCGCGTAAAAATGATAAAAGGAGGTTACTCTTGTTTTATGATGCTTCTTGGACTGGTTACCATTTAAATCATAGTGGTCAGTGCCATTCAAAATAGAGGGATGGACTTCCAGTTCAAGCAATTTCCCAACCAATCTTTCATTCTAATTACTTTATACTATGAATAAACTATTAAAAAAAATAAAAATACTTCAATCGAATCAGCCAGGAATATCTGTTGAGGTCTTGAATTCGTGACACCGGAAACCATAACGTGCATTTGGGATAAGAGAGCAGGTGAGGCCGGTCCTTGTTTTTTACCCTACCCGTGGCAATGCACCAAATGTGTTTGCAGATACTACAAGGAGAACAAGTGGAGGTAATCTATACAAGGAGTCAGCAATACAAAACAGACAGGTAAAATGGGGGAGAGAAACCGTGAGGAAATCTGATTGTTCCCGTTGTTCTGAGAATTTGAAACACACCACACAAGACCTATGAAGAAGAACCTGCGTGTCAGCACAAATGCCTCACATGGAGAGGTGGTCTGGAGAAAGTCTGGAGGAATCCTGGCCACATTGTTTTCATCACTCAGTGGCCTTGAAAGAGAAAGACAGTTTAGGCCTCGACTTCCCTTTCCCCAAAATGATCTTCTGTTCCTCTTTCTGCTGTTTCTGTCGCTCTTGTTCCAACTTCATACGCTCCTCGTGTATTTTTCTCTGCTCTTCAACTATTCGTAGTTGTTCCTCTGCCTGTAGGACAGAAAAAGGTGTTTATTAGGAGAGAAATATAAACAAGTGCAATATACTGGTATTTAAAAAATGTAATATTGATATCATGTTAATTAGTGATGATGCAACATACCAGTATTGGCGAAAACATAATATTTCAAATTAATGGTACACACATGATGACATAAATAATCAAGCGCCTGAATCTGTTTGACAACCCGTCAGTAGGTGGCGGTATTGCACCTTAACACTGGGTGCCAACTGTCATAAAACACAAGTAGACACTACAGTGTGCTACTTTCATGCAAAAGCATGTCCTCAGACATGACAGACACTCTAACCGCACTCCAAAATGACTCAATCACCTCAGTCTGCAGGATTTGCGAAACAACACTGAGCACAAAAGGTGGGCAATACAACCAACCAGCTCTGTTATCTTGCAGATTTGGCCACTGTACAGACAGTAAATTGCAATTATTTTGCTAGGCCGGAAATGGGAAATGTTACATTAACCAGCTGAAACACAGAATATTCAGAAAGTATTTTATTAAATTTACAGCCATTGGGGCTTTTAGTCCAAATGTGTGATTTATGGATTATCGTACGTTTACTTTAAATATCTTTAGAGAGCAGTATTTTCTTTTCTATTTTTACCCATTTTAAGGACGATTTGAGCATTACACTGTAAAAATGAATGCGCTTTTTCTAATCAATAAAATTGTACCAACAGATAACAAACAATATTATTAATTAAATTGAACAAATTAGAATTGAGAAATAATTAATCAAATTATTCCTTAAAAGGAGTAAAGTTTACACCAAAAAATTAAACAAAAATATCTGAATAACAGACAGACATCAAAGATTAATTAAGAACTCTTTATTTTATATTGCCAACATTGAAGACACCTGATGTTAACAAGCAGAATCACTGAAAGAGAAAACCTTCATTTTAAAACAAACACTGATCACCATAATGGTGACTTAAATGTAAGGGTTTTTTTTTAGTTCACATTTTTTAGGTTTTACTCATTTTAAATGGTTAACTTTTCAGGAATTAATTTGATGAATTATTACTCAATTCTAATCAAAATTATAAAATTATATAATTTATGCAACATCAGTTCACTGAAGGTGTAATAGTTCCTTTTGCATGCAATGGTTTGATTCTTCAATAAATAAATAAAGATGAATTTGACCAATAGCGTTCCTTTTTTTTCAAGATTTCAATAGATATCGTTATTGTGAATTCTTCTGGCCACGACAATAGTGTACTGAAAAATCTGATCTCCTGACAGCTCTAATGCTAATTTAATATTGGCTAACACTTAACCGTCAACAGCATCGCCATACCTTGGAATGGTGTCAGAATATCTTGGTTATATTTGTTAAATAAATAAAGATGTATAAAATATTAAAAACATTCAAGACTACACTATTCATGCATAATGCACTTACAAGTCCCATACTTTAATTAAAAGCTTCAAGCAATTGTTCTGAGCTCTGTGACGTTTGATATAATGTACAAAAGTGCTTTACCAACTCTGTTTAACTTTGAATACTATATCATTTGCAATATGTAGTCGTTTATGACAAACCGAATTTTGTGAAAGGGACAGTTTTTGTCAGTTCACTTTTAAGTGTTGCTCTTAACCTTAATGGCTTGTAACTGACATGATCCCTTATATAAGCTCTGCTTTGTATCTAAATTTATCTCCCTTTTTCTAAAAGGCT